GCACGGCAGCTGCACGCGCAGTCTTAGAACGAAGCCGTCAGCGCATCGAAGCACGCCAGCGCGGCCGCACAGCCGTCGCACGGCACCACGCTCACGGAGGACAGGCCGGCCATGCGGTAGTCGCCGCTGCTCTGCAGCACCCGGCCGCCGGCACGGTTGCACTGCACCGACACGACGCCGCTCGTGATCGCCGGCCCGGAGACAAGCGTCGCGCCGGCGGCAGTGCAGCGCGCAATCGACACGGTGCCGCCGCTCAGCGTCACACCCGACAGCGACGCCACCGACGACGCCTCGCCCACCGCCCACACGTCGCGCAGCTCCAGCCACCCGCCGGCACTCACCGTCCCACCGTCGCAGCGCACCAGCGACGACGCAACAGACCCCTCGACGCCCACGAAGCGCAGCACCGAATCAAACACCGCGAGACGCTCGCCAAGCACAAGGCCGCCGCCGCTGCTCACAACAGAGACGTTCGTCACGGAAAACACCGAGTGGCTCCGCAGACTGAGAATCGACGAGGACGCCACATGCATCGCGGATGCGGTCGGACCGCCCGACGCCTCCAGTAAAACGCCGTCAAGCACCACCGCGCTCGACAGCAGGTCCACGTCGCCGCCAACGTACACCGCCGACCCGCCCGCGTGCAACGACCTCAGCACAGTGTTGCTCACACGCAGCTGCGTCTGCAACAGCGACGTCGCGTGCAGCACAAGCGGCGACGCCACCGTGTCCGTCAGCCCGCTCAGCTGCGAGTAGCGCATCGGCCCCGCCGTCACAATCGTCGAGTCACGGACCGTCACGTTCGTGTGTGCCGGCAGGTTGTGCACAAACACGAGCGAGCAGTAGCTCCCGGAAAGCCCGCTCACGCTCACCTCCAGGCTCCGGTCACTCGCCGGCTCGCCGCTGTAGCCCCGCACGTAGAGCTGCGCACCGCCGTCGCACACGCAGTTCCTCAATTCGATGCGCAGCGCACCGGGGAGCATCGCCGCAACGTCGAACACCACAGCCACGCCGTTCGTGACGGACACGCCGTCCATCAGCACCGTGTCCACGGCGCGGCCAACCGTGATGGCCCTGTCCACCGTACCGCCCCGCAGTCGCAGCACCACCGCATGCACCGCGGGCATCCACGCCGCCGCCGCAACCAGCGCCAACACCACAAGCAGCGCCAAAAGCACAGCCGCAAGGGCCCTGTGCCGCTCGCGGTGCCGGCTGCGCGGACACGCACCCACAGCAGACCGCATCCTCCAACCCACACAGGTATCAATAAAGCCTTCTTATTCTATCGCTCTCGCCCAGTCGACCGTAACTCCTGCTTCGCAAATCCCCTTTCTACAGATGGCGAATCCAGTGACACAATTCCGATATTTCGTTATCCCACTACTGCTAATCCTAATACTGCAAGTAATCCCTAGCACCTTGAAACGATAGTTGTGATGGTCAATCCAAAGTATCTCTATCTGCTCGGTCGGAGAAGAAAAAGACAGAAACAACAGTCACTAAACACAGTGGCACGCAGAGACATCCGGCCACAGAAAATCCCCGCCAAAGCGCAACCACCGACACAAAGAAGCACAGACGCAACCACGCAGTGACACCATCGCCCTCCCACCACCCACGCAGCCCCGCACAGCCACCATGCAGAGTGGTGGGATCCCGGCAAAAAGACGCATGACCATTGGCGCCGCTCCTGCTACCGAATGGCCACATCACAGAGCAATCCCGATGCCGTGGACGACACACAAGAGCCGAGACAGACCCACGTGGCAGCGTTGCAACCGCCAGCCATCGAGCGAGTAAGAGAAGGTGTTATTGGTGACGCGGAATAGGGGTGGAGGATTCGCCAGTTGCCAGCAGTCAGAGTGTCGTTTTTCGCTCACGTGGGTCGGCATTGCGCAACAAACAGCGGCACCCTACGCGCACTGCATTACACAAGGAAGGGATGAAGAAGCACGGCGGCAGAACTCAGTCACAGAAAACAAGAGCCCAAATCAATTGCACGCTCCGATTGACTCGCAGCCGTCCGGATGGTGGTCGCACCGCTGCCGCGAGGTGCGTGTGTCCGCAGAAAACTGCAATGATGAAGAAAGGGGACAGAGACGCAGTGCGGTCCTCATCTATCTCGGTTGGATGTGACACCGATAACGTCATCTCGCCAGATTGCCTGCAGCAAAGGCCGTCGCATTCAGCAGCGATCGGTGCCTTCCTTCTCCCACTGGGGCGCCACTCCACCAACGCCGTCGCTCACCTCCTCCCCCACCAACACAACGAGGGAGCAACAGCGGACGATGCGGCGCGTGCGACGAGCACGCAGTCGCAATGACCAAACAAAACAGGGGTGCACAGAGCACTTTATCCAAATCCTCGGCCATCACACTTTTTAGAAAGAAGAAGGAAGGGAGACATGCCGACAGAACCGTCAGTTTCATTCCTGCCTCTGGTTGGAACACAACACAACAATAAGACAAAGGCCAGGCGCACACCAATGCGGGCAAGCACACACACACATCGTCGTGACGCCGTCGGTGCGCGCACAAGGAGAAGAATGCTGCGCCCCACGGCAGACACGGCTCGCACAGTGCACACGCCGCAAAACAGCATCCAAAAAACAAACGCACACACCGCCAGCAGTCACCTACCGTGGACGAGGAGGAACAACACACAGCCTCCGCCTCCAGCTCAATCCCACGGCCAACGGGATACGGCCACAGCCCCGCAGCCAGCACACAACGCACGCGGAGCAAGCAATCACCCAAAGAGCCACACGCGGAAACGGATCCTCACCCATCCATGACGCGGCGCCTCACTCCACGCGGTCACACGAAGCGCACTGTTTCCTCAATAGAACTTATGCCTCGTCCATCCCTTAAAGATGCTTCCTTTAATGATGGGACTTAGAACACCACAGAAAAAAAGTGAAAGACGCAGTCATACTGCAACAATGCCAGCCACAATCATCCTCCAACTAAGGTGCAATTCTCCAATTATGCCTCGTATGCACGAACAAGTAACATACTATACGAAAATCACCCAATGTTTTTCACCAAAAACCAAGCAACCCCATGCCCTCCCTAATTTCTTCGGTCACTGCTACGATCAATAGCGTTGGACATTTTGGCATTCGTGTGCGGTGCCACCGCCTGGTGCTGGTGCACCTGCAGCGTATGCACACATAAGCATCCAAAAATATATAAATCCAAAAGTGTTTTTTTTACTAAATCAAAGCTGCCCCATTCCCCAATTTGTTCTCCTATTTCCGTGGTTCTTCCTCACTTCGGAGAGCTGCATATCCGCTAAAGTCCCCGGATGATATTGACACTTGGTACTGGCGCACCTTTTCCTTCCAGGACCCCGTCATTTCACGGCCTTCATCGTCGCTCACATTATCGGAATTGTCGACACCACATCTCTGCCAGTCATTCATCGGCGTGCTGCACGTAAATCATCTCCCACGACATGTCTCGGGATAAATTCCTCCCAACCACTAAAATATGCCGCCAGGCACTCAGTGAACTGCCTCACAGTGCTGGTTATCGTGTGATGCCCACCCGCCGTAGCCATCCGCAGCCCAGCCAGCGTCTTCCGTCGTGACTCCACAAAGAAAAAAAGGGGTCCACCAGTGGGAATTTCCCAACCGCCGGTGTGCACAGCAGCCGATACTTCAAATTTTCCCTCTCAGAAGAATTCTTCAATGAAACCAATCCATATGAATCGTTGGGGTGCCCTTGAGGTTTAACGTTGGCACTGCGTACTGTCCTCCACAACTTGCTGATGGCTTCAGCTCAAGGTCCTCTACTAATGCACTGGCAAACTCCCCCAAAAAATGAACACTCGCAAGCCAAACCCTCTCATACATTCAGACAAAAGAGTATTCGTCTTCCCCAATACCAGCAACAAAAAAAATATCTTTCTCACTCATCACGTTTCCCAAAATAGTGCGTTATTCGACGCCCGAGGCAAAGCGATATCGGTGCGTTAAGAAATCCCTCAGCACCGACCTCTCCTCTTGCTCGGACAACCCTCACGAGCTTTTGAGACGGATTCTCAGAATACCACAGTCTCAGTCCACGAGGTATAAAGTGCCTTTCACCATCCCGAGACTGGACCCCATCCAAGGATTCCTCAGTGGCAGCAGAGTGTACAATGAACTTCTTCGCATCAAAGATGTAAAGTGGAATCGGCCCCACTTTATCCATGCGTCCTTTGACCATCCTCCAGTATTCCGCTTGCTCATCAGTAGTCCCATCGCGATTCATCCAGGCGCACACCGCCTTCACATCCATCCCGTCGGAGCAATTCACGATGATTCGCTCGGCGTTTGCTTGCGTCTTCCATTCACCATAGTTGCGCACGTTTGGGGATGCCACCACAATCATGCCCATTCATCAAAAACCGCAGAACCTTTCTCTGGCGGTGTTCCTTTCTCTGTCACATCGTAGATAATGTACCCCCTTCATCTTCAAATGCCACAAATCATACAAAAAGTCCTGGGATATTTTTCTACCCACGTACCTTGTCACCGTCTTGGTGGTCTTGTCAAACACATACGTCGTGCTTCCACCAAAACTGTACGCAACCACTTGGAGTTTCTCGACATCGTAGTGCAGCAGCTGGTAGAGGAGGTACGAGCCGGCAGCCATCGACTTCCCGATCTCGGGCATCCCAATCAACACACGTCGCCCAGACGTAAAGTAGACCCCAGGAAGACTGTTGAACCACTCGGTGAGATCGCCCCCTGACGATCTGCCACACTCGCTCCACCTCACAGTTCACATGGCAGTCACGAGTGGATTACTCCCCACCCACCTAAAGAGTACGGCCATCCCTTGTCCGAGGTGAGCACCAGCAGCCTGAGACTTGCTGCACCGGATTGCTCCACACCGTCATCCTTTTCGAGAGT